CCAAAAATAATATTTCTCTCTTTTTTATTGGGAGTGGGGGTGGGGGCCTCCCCTGCTTCTCGGGGTCCCGGAGCACACACCTGTTCTGCCTAAGGGGGAAGCCAGCTTTGTTCTTACCACTTAACAAACGCACGCACAAAACCGAGAACGCCAGTGAGCGAGGGCAATGTTATTTGTAAGGAGAATCCCCACTCACTTACTTTAGAATTCCAAATTATTCACCATAGTGGTCAGAGTATCTGGAATCAGCTTCCCTGGGTCCATATGCCAGTGTGGCCACTTTCTAGCTGTGTGGCCTTGGACAAGTAGTTAACCCGTCTGAGTCAGTCTCCTCATCTGTTAAATGGGGGTAAAACTCACATCTCAGAGACTCATGAAGACTGAACCAGTCATTACATGGAAAGTGCTTAGCAGAATACTTGACGTGTAGCATTGAGTTATTATCATGGATGCTTTCGTTACTACATTGTTGCTGCTGTTCAGCGTTCTAAGAGCAGAAAGAACTTTCTGACGTAGAAGAAAATAACTGGGGGGCAGAGGCTAAAGCAGTTAAAAAAAGAGGTACCCCTGTCAACTGATCCGCCCACAGAAGCCCAATTGTGAGCTGCTGGAATCAATTTCCTGCGTGGTAGGTGCAAAACAAAAGGAAAAAAGCAACTTCCTGACTATTTCCTTTCTCTGCAGAATGAAGTGGAGCTGGGAGAGCTGCTTCTGTCGCTGAATTACCTCCCAAGTGCTGGGAGACTGAACGTGGATGTCATTCGAGCCAAGCAACTTCTCCAGACAGATGTGAGCCAAGGTTCAGGTACGGCATGATCCCCTCCTTCCCCCATTTCTATAATGGGCCATCTCTGTTTGTGGGTCACAAAGGACCCAATTTTCTTTTTCTGCATCCTGGATACTGTTAAGAAGGTCCTGGGAGGGAAGCTAGCATAGCATCCAGGTTGTTAGTTCTAGAGGAAAAATAAACAATCAGGTGTCTCTTAGAATGAGGCAGATAAAGGATGCCATCTCATAGCCCCTTTTGAATTGGGGATTTGACTGAGACCAGGTGTGACAACGACTGAAATGTAGATCTTCTTTGTATAATTGCAGCCCCCTAGGAAGCAACTTGACTTTCCAGATGCTATGCCTGCAATAGAGACACCATCCTCCAGGTGGCGGTAGTGGACATTGAACATGTGTCCTAATCCCTGAGTGGTGGGCACACCCTAAGGTTTTTTCCCAGCTCATTTCAAGTGCATCATGAACCTCTATAAATCCCAGCTCTGAAAAGACTGTTGTATTTAAATTCTCTACTTTATGGTAAACCAGTTCAAACATGACTTAATGACACGGAAGAGATTGCATTCCATCCGTATGTAGCTTCTCCCAAGACAGCAAAGGATATTATCATGAAAGCAGCCATGGCTGCTGGGATCTCTCAGCTCTGTGGTGGAAATACAGTCTCCTCTAAGTGCAATAGCTAAAATAAATTACTTTTGCTATCAGGTGACAGCTGAATTTAGAAGACAGTTTGCAGTCTCAAAAAACCACATTGCAAAAGCAGGTTTTGAAGGGGCCAATGAAGGGAATGGTGTTAAGGCTGGAGAGTTTCAGACTCATCGCAATGGGAGCGTCCGTATGATAAAATGATTAAGGGTTTCAGAGTCATACTGCCTGGAACCAAATCCCATTTCTATTGCTTGCAAATAATGTGGCCTTGGGGGAGTTACTTAACATCTAGAAGCCTCAATTTCTCCATCTGAAAAACTGACAGAATAACAGTATTCATCTCATTGGGTTGTTTAAACCGTATTCAGCGAGATAATGTACGTGACTCTCATTGTAAACTGTAAAGTGATTTAAGAATGATAGTTATAACTCTGCCATCTCTATTCTGTGGGCTCACTGACATGATAATGGGCTTCCAGGACAGAAAGCCAGGACAGGCTCTGGGTCTGGGTCTTCCTTCACTAGCCAGCTCTCAAGCAAATCATTTCTCACCTTGAGTTGTCACTTTCTTTGTCTGTAAAATGAACACAGTGCCTGACACATGGGAGGAGCTCGATGAATATTGGGTGGCTGGAGGGAGAGGGGAGGGGATGAGCGGATAAGCAGCTAGATGGGGGAAAGGAGGAATTAATAGTAGGTGGATAAATGGGAAAGTGGATGCATGAAAGGAGGGATGGACGCGTGGACTGATGGATGGAAAGATGGATGGACTTATAGGAAAATAGAGAGATGAAAGGATGGGTAGGTGGTTGAGCTGTCTGGTAAATGGGAAGATGAATGGGTGGGAGGAAGGGAGGGAAGGAAGGAAAGAAGGAAGGGAGGAAAGGAGGAGGGAAGGGAGGAAGGAAAAATGATGGATGGATGGGAAGTTGAATGGATGGATGGATTGGGTTTCATGATCTCCAGCATTCTCTGATGTTGTATCCAATTCTCAGACCCCTTTGTGAAAATCCAGCTGGTACATGGACTCAAGCTTGTGAAAACAAAGAAGACATCCTTCTTAAGAGGCACAATCGACCCTTTCTACAACGAATCCTTCAGCTTCAAAGTTCCCCAAGAGGAGCTGGAAAACGCCAGCTTAGTGTTTACAGGTAGGTGGTGCTCCAGACCCTGATGACCCCCAGGTGAGGCGTGCTCAACTTAACTGTCCTAGAGGCAGAAGGCACCTAGAGAGAGTAACGTTGAACCACTTCACGCCTGATGTTGAGCTACCTGGGTTGGAATCCACTTCCCATCTGTGAACTTGGGCAAGACTCCCCGAGCCATGTAGTATAATTGTAAAAACAACTGTAAACTCGGGAGCCAGATTTCCTGGCACCTTCATAATTCCTGAAGCTTTGGGCAAGTTATTAACATTTAACCCCTCCGAGCCTCAGTTTTCTTCATCTAGAACACGTGAGTAATAATAGTATTTGCTTTCTAGGTTTGTTGTGAAGATTAAGTGNTTCTTCAGTCTAGTTGTGGAGGACGTTGCTTCACTGGCCCATGTTGGTATTATCATTGTGCTCTTCCCGGGTAAGGCAGTTGCTCGCCGGCCACTGGACGGCTGCTCACGGCGGCTCATGGCAGCTCATGCCGCCTGCTGGCCACTCACGCCGGCTGCCAGCCACTCACGGTAGCTTATGGCAGCCCATTGCAGCAGGGGCTGTAGCCTACACTGTTGCCGGTGACTCACGGCAGCCCAGCTCCAGGTTGAGCTGTTGTTCACCATCTTAGCTGTAGAGGGCAGTGTCCCTGGCCTTAATGTGGGATCTGAACCGGGGCCCCGCTGCTCAGAGCTGGCATCCCAAGCCAACTCTTAACCAATGTGCCACTCGGCTGGCCCAGACATTTTGGGGTTTTTTAAAAGATTTTATTGGGGAATTGGGGAAGGGGAACAGTCAAGTTGTTGTCCTTCAGTCTTAGTTGTGGAGGGCACAGCTATCTCAGCTCCAAGTCCAGTCGCCATCTGGCCGCCCATCGGCAGCTTGCGGCCGCTCAGCCCAAGGTGCTGTGTTCAATCTTAGTTGCAGGCGGGTGCAGCCCACCATCCCATGCAGGAGTTGAACCAACAACCTTGTTGTGAGGAGCACATGCTCTCACCAGCTGAGCCATCTGGCCACCTGTTGGCAGCTCAGGGCAGCTCAGCTCAAGGTGCTGTGTTCAATCTTAGTTTGCAGTTGGGTGTAGCCCACCATCCCATGTGGGAGTCAAACCAGCAACTAGCTGAGCCATCCAACTGCCTGTTCACAGCTCAGCGGTACCTCAGCTCGGGCGCAGCTCACTGGCTCATGTGGGAATCGAACCAGCAATCCTGATGCTCAGAGCTCATGCTCTTAACCAACTGAGCCACTCGCCTGGCCCATCTAGAGACATTTTGAATTGTCACAATTGGGGGTGGTATGCTCCTGGCATCCAGGGGGTAGAGACCAGGGCTGCTGCTAAACATACTACGATGCACAGGACGGCGCCCCACAGCACAGAATGATTCTGCCCCGAATGGCAATGGTGCCAAGGTTGACAAATTCTATTGCAGATGACACTAAGGATTTTGGATTTCATTCTGCGAGTGATGGAGGCTGTTGCGCAGGGAAGTGAAAGAATGGCCGGGTTCAGTTTTCTTTCTTAAATCTATATAGTATTGGACCAAATGATTCCAGCTCTGACACACCAAAACCCTCTCTGACTAAATGTGGGTAGGAGAAGGGACACTTTCAAAGAGTTGGGGATCCTCCCAGAATGTGCAGTCTATTCTCCTTGGGTCAGCTGAGCCCACTTCCTGGGAGGAGTTTTGTGTCTGGCGCTTGGGGTCCTGTTTGCAGTAAAGAAGGAAGCCCCAGGAAGAAGTGGAAGGATGGGAATCGTAGCTTCATCTTTGGCTTGTAGCTGGTGCTTTTGGCCTCTTCTGTCCGGCCTGGAGAAAACGTCAGGCTTTGGTTGCTATTACCATGTGTTTGTGCTAGAATCCTGTATAAGAGAAAAATCTGAATCAGCCCGAGGTTCATAGGTTTAGTGAAGATTTCTCCACCTCAGCACTATTGATATTTTGGGCCAGACCATTCTGCGTTGGGCGTAGGGGGTCCTGTACTTTGTAGGATGTTTAGCTACATCCCTGGCCTCCACCCACTAGATGCCAGTAGCACCCCCACTTCAACTGTGACAACCATGAATGTCTCCAGACATGGCCACATGTCCCTGGAGGTGAGGGGAGGGTAAAATTCCCCTAGGTTGATGTCACTTTAATGTGCGAGTCCTTATTGGGTGTCCAGAAAGGTCACTAAATTCCCTGGTCCTTCAGGCGAGGGGTCAGGTCAGGGAGCTACCGGACTACATAGTCCTGCTTTCTGTTACTTAGCAGCTGGCTGCTGGTCAGCTTCTCAATGTAGCGTCAGTCACTTCTTCTAGGGAGCAGGGATCGAGACGACACTGGCTTTAGGACACCTCCAGGAGAAATTTGCCCTCAGGCGGTATAGAGCTGCAGCGTTTAATGTCCATGTGGATGGACGTGCCCCACGATGTGGGGCAGAGTTCCTGAGCGTACTGAGGACCCTCCGCTTCCTCCAGGGCTGGGTTAAGATCCGACCTTGAGACCCGAAGCCCTGGAGATCATGGAGTTTCTCATCATATGTCACTCAAGATAATAACTCTCAGCTGTAAATCCCAGCGATGGTCTCATTTCCCCACAGCAATTATGTCAGTATTATTTCTGAAATATCAGATTCTTGCCAAAAATAATATTTCTCTCTTT